GAAAGAGTTCCAATTCAATGTCTTCCTTTTAAGGATTCTTTCTTTTTCAAAGAACACCCAAACCCACAACACTATCAATGAACTTCTTCCTTACAAATGTCAAGGACTGAACGTATGCTAAGTTCAGTTTGGCAAAAGTCACAGAAAAAGATGTACAAACCCATCTTTTTTACTTTTTTTTTTTTTTAAACAAAAAGGTAATCCTGTCCATTAATAAAACCTTCACTAACTCAGTCACACCAATTTGTATCCTTGAATACACAGTCCTAATAGTTGTCAAAAGCCAAACCTTTCTTTTTCTTTATCAGGTGACAAGCTTCAAAAGCAGTATCAGGAAAACTGAAAAAAATGTGAACTGTCCTCTAGGGTCCAGCAGTGTTTCTCACAAGTAACTTATTACTTATTTTCAAAAGACAGATTTAAGAGTTTGGCATCTTGCCCAATATTAGAGACATTGCTGTTTTTTATTTTTTATTTAATTTTAGAGACTGGTTCTTTTGAGGCAGTAGAGATCCATTCTTTTGTTATGCTTTGATTTCAGCATTCCTCAAATGCATTTAACTCAAAACAGATAAACAAAAATAATCCTTTGCATCGTCCTTACTAACTGTCTAAATATGGAATCAAAATCATCATCTTTATCCCAGTATTTGCTAGCTAGCCCTTCTAGAAATTCCAGGGCTAGCAGAAACTTTAATAATGGAACTTAGTCCCTTTTACTGCAATCTCATCTCATAAGACTTCAGTCAACTTCTATTTGCTGAAGCGTGGCCTTAGCCACTCCTTAACAAAAAAAGATGTGATACAGAGAGCATCACTTGCATGCACACTTACATTGCCACTTCAAGTCACCTTATGTTTCTTTACGATCTCTTAACGAATCTCTTCCTCTAATAAGCACACCAAATATTTTCCTTAATATATAGCTTAATACCCTTACACTTTGCTGTTCCCATGCTTTTGCTTTCCCATGTTGTCTAACCCTCCCATTACAATAACTTCCTAGGTAAGACAGCTGATTTTTTTTTTAAAGTTTATCCCAAACTCTTGCACATTTTCCTTTTGCCAGCCCTTATATTACAAGATCTGTTCCAGTACATCTCACATCATTAACCTGTCATTTAATCTATGAGACTAAATGCAGCTTAAATTCTATGGATGCTACTTAAAAAATTTGGTTTGTTTTTTTGTACAGCATAGAATTTCATAATACAGATAATAATAAATATCAAAGTGCACTAAACAAAGGAAACTATAACTGTTCCAAGAAACAATAATCTTGTATCTCATGTCAAACAACAGGTTTTTAGTTTCCTCAGCTCTCAGGGAATGTCTACCTCCCCTATGAAATAACACTTTAAAAATTAGATGTAGAGTGTCATAGAATGTTTAAAGATAAACATGTAAATGAGAGAAGATTCATATGTTTACATAGTTCCAGTTAAACATAAGTCTTATGCCTCTTTAAGAACAAAAGTGGATACACAATGAGTAAGTTATTGAAATTGATGCTAATAAACAAACCCTTAGCTTACCCGCCTATCAGTATCTGTGGCTTATTTGAATCACTTGTGACACCAAAGACATCAGGAATCAAGTCACCATTAAAGCTGAAAGTGCAAAACAATTTTAGTATCACCTTAGTCATTATAGGAGTTGAAATTAACTGTTCTTAAGTTAACCTGTATTTGGTTAGCATTTTCCCACCAAGCAATAAAGAATTTTCAGCTGTATAGTATTCTCTGAATTTTGACTCTTGCCTGAGCTGCTGGAAGTAGGACGTTTCTTTCAGTATTTTACACTATGCCATGCATTTGATTTTCCAGCTGTATTTCCCCCTTCTCTTTTATTCAGCACTTGGCACAGAGGGAAATGCACTGTGAAAGGGATATTTGCTCAGTCGGATAAACCAGCAAGGTTGTGGGTTTTTTGTTTGTTTGTTTTTTCCCCAAGACTCACTAAAAAATGAATGGTTCCTTTTATGCAAAAAATAGAGTACTGAAATTAAAAAAATTAAAAGCTTACTTAGTTAGTACTGCCAGGATGATATAATATACAAGATTTGTAAAGATGACTGTTGCGTTTCATCATCTTTTGTTAGACCAGTTGACATTACACAAACTACCCTGCTCTTTAAAGATAAAGAGCATGTGTTTCACTATTTAGTGTTAAAATATATTGAAGTTGCTCTGAGTCACCATTATAAATGTTGTTTTCCAAAAAAGTAGGTCATACTTACTCCATTACTAGAGGCTCATCATGAAAAGTCTTATTTAACATAGTTTTATGGTTAAGATCTGAAACCAGAAAATATTCATTTGATTCAGTTACCAATGTTATGACATTTACACTTTTAACTTAGACATAATTCTTTTATCTACCATCAATTTTATTATTAAAAAAAAATCAGCCATTACTGAGCCTAAACACCTAAATGGCTTCCTGAAGTTACATAGAAAGGCGAGTTACAGTTAAAATGCTGAAGCTTCTTCCCTCTCTACTAAACTTTTCAACAAATTATTCTAAATAGATCGTAGTGAAACCAAAGTATGACTGCAATCACACACAAAATCTGAAACAGTTGGGATGAAGACAGTCTAAAAATTTAATATTGTACCTAAGACCTCTGTTTAATGTTTTGTCACTGTAAAAAAACATTTTAATCATATACACTGAGTGTCTGAAATAAGGATTAGAGGTAGACCACCTAAATGGGAAGTGAGGATTTCAAGTCCTAATCAGGTTATCATTTCTCAGACTTCACTTTCACCTGTAACCCAAACTCCTTGACACATCATGCCTGTTTCCTTCATCTCTCCATAATGTTCGTCTTCTTTCCAGTTTCCATATTTTATATGACAGTACCCTCCTATTGACTTGTCAACACTTCCATTACTCAAGTAGGCACCACATACCTTCCCAGTAGCCTCACTACATACCAACCACCGCCTGAATTTTTAACCTCTGACTCCCTTTTAAGTCCCATATGCTCATTTGTGCCTCTCCCAATATTTGTTTATTCAGTAGCAAGACAGCATAAATTAATCCAAATCCTTCATGTTCTTCCCAATACTACAGATACCTCCTATTCTCTTAATACTTGATTCAGTGCACTTTCCCAGGTTGTTTGTTTCACCTTGGATTAAAGCCAGAAGCAATGGTATCTAAGGCCATCCCTTGCCTCACTTGTAACTAATTCATAACACAGCTGTTTATAATAGTGATTATTCTTCAGTAGTTTTTCTGGACTTGAGAGTATCTTCTTTTGCTTTTCTTTCTTCTTCAAAGCCTAAACTCTTCCCAAAACCCTTTCTTAGCAATCAACAGAAAACAGAAGAGACTTCAAGAGTTCATATAATCCATGACTCTACCCTAAGACAGAATCAGATATACCTTGAACACTGCTAAAAGATTCTTGAAACCTTGATTCTAAAGTTCGTGAAAACTTCCAGTGATAGAGACCCTAGAAACCCCTCCCAAAACCTACTTCAGTGTGCCAGCGTCTTTAAAGAATTTGGTTTAACAGAAATAAGAGTGTTATATTACTGTTGGTAAGTTTGATATTTTGAAAGTTTATGCACGAAACTTTACATCAGGTTCTCAGCACATTTTAAATTCCAGATAATCTTTTGAGATAGTTCTTGTGAAGTTTACATGCATAATAGGGAAGCCATGAGAAATAAATCTTCAGTTAGTAGGTTACTATCAAGCTGTAATATTGTTTGATTATGTCTATTGCATGATATAAAGCAAGAAATTTAGTTTTGTTCTCTTTCATTAACTATGGAATAGTTTAACAACAAGACAGTATATAGGTATGAAGCTGAATAGATGCCAATTCCAATTTCAGTTGTAAAAACAACTACTACACTGTAACAGGAGCCATAACTTTATGACATTATTTTGAATTATTAAAAGGTCCAACAATTTTATTAATAATCAGTCTCAGCAACTCACCTAATGTTTGGTTGTGCCCCCAGAAAATAACCACTGAAAGTTCATCTTTGCCATGATTTTGTGCCCGGGTAGTCAGGAGGACATCCATTTGTGAATCACCATCATAATCTCCGGGAACTACACTGGTTATGGTAACACCGAGAGATCTAGAATTAAAAACAAACAAAAAAAAGTCACATGCAAATAACTGTACAAATGTGTGCATGAAAATTGGAAGTACTTGTGTGTTCAAAGGCTTGCATTTTCATCCCAATTATTATCAGTTGGTCCAATATAATATTTTCCTTCAACAACGTGGCTTTTTAAAAAGTCCGTATCTATTGAAAAAGTAACTTTAAATCAAGCATTCTTCCTCTAAGGAAGGATGACACCTTAAAATCTAAACTTCAGCTAACACACATTTTTCAGCCATATCCTGCTTGTTAATGCTGTCTAGACTTCATTAAATCTCTACATTTGTTGTAGAGCCAGTCCTCAAAAAATGTGGTTCAGAGAGCAGGATTTTTTGGTTGCTTTCCAAGAGGAAGACCATAAAGCAACAGGAACAGTTTAAGCAGCTGGAGTTAGACAGATAGCTAAATCTTGTTAAAAACAATGTCATTTTCTCCCATCTTCTGCCACGTCTTACCACTCCTCCCTACATTTGTTTGTTCCTTCTATCGTTTTTAATTGGTTACCTACTCAGAGACTCTGCTTTATACACAGAAATGTGGTTAATTTGATTAAGAATTAAAACCAGATATTTCTAATGCACTAAACAAATTAGCTCCTTCCAAGATAGGAGGGAATGAGGAAAAATACAAATATATAGAATGATAGAAGATGAAGCTGAGCTATAACAGCAATTTAACTTTTAATAGACATAATACTATTAGTAAACATTATACATAAGCAATAACATACCCTGTAATACTATTAGGGTTAAAACTATACATATATAGGTACATAAACACACAGCTTGTTTTACACGTATTAAAAATGGATGATTTTTTTAAAGCCACATTTAAACTTTAGAAAGGAAAGAGATCTCTACACAGAAATACCAGCACACTATTCGCCATATCTCTTTCTAAAGCAGATGACATTGGCTGGATTCCATTAGTAACTACAGCAACTAGAAGAACTTCCCTGAAAACACGTCTTCAGACAGAGACTACTATTATCTGCCAAAAAGACTTAACCTAGTTTGCTTTACTAGGAAATAAAGTCCTGAAAAAACAAGTCAGCTGCAAAAATATTCCAAGACATAAGTATTTTTAATACTAATTAGAGGACAAAAAAAACCAAAGAATAAACATTTCATAAGGGGGTGGGAAGTGAAGTCACACTTATGAATGACAAAAACTCACCTCCATAAATTCTGTCATTTGACTCACAAAATCCAAACAAATCAAAACAAAAATGTATCATGGAATTAATCAGGAAAATAGTCAAAGAACTGGAGCTGCATGTTGACCAACACAGTCAACCAGATAACAACAGCAGAGACAATTCTAGTGATGTTCCTCCTGACTGCAGAGATGCACTTTCAAGAAAAGCAGCCACTTAACATTGCTTCACCATTGAATATCAATACTTACTTCATTGATAACTTGACACGGGGCTTAAAGTAGGGTTCCTTTTGGTCAGCCAAAAAGATAATCAGCTCATTTCCTGCAAAAGCAAGTCAGACAATGAGTAATAGAGGAGGACTGGAAATGGCATATATACAAAAACAACACTGAAAAAGTTGTGCCACAAACAGTCACTCCCCACAGCAGCAAAAACTTTGAAAGACTTCCCATACAACTACTTCCTCCTCTTTCAAAAGGAAGCAAAAGGAGCACTTCAAAACCTATACATTGCTTAAAATAAAACTTCCTATAACGAGTTAGAAACATTACTGGAAGTGGTAGGCATCAGTTCCATACAAATAATTAAAGCTGAAAACCTAACTCAAATGAATCCTTTTAATACTGTCTCTGACATAGCAGGATACTGCTGATACTGCTCTCCCAAGTTGGCTGACAAAAGCGCTTGAAGTGAAACTCACAGAAGTAACCTGGTTCCCTGCAGCATTTCCTCATTTAGAGGCAATGATACAAGCCACTATAATTTAATTATTTCAGGAAGATCTAAATAAAAGCCTGTATTTTATGCTGCACAAACAACTGAAATTCAGGGAAGAAAAAAAAAAAAAATTAACCTGAACAATGAAGTGTATTTTCAATCAGTAAACCACAATACACACGCACTTACTTTTGAAAGTAAAATAACAGTTCACGGCTAAAGAAAAAAAAATATTTTATTACTCATCCTTTATTACATTTTTTTTTCTGCATTTGCCAAGGAACTCACCTGTAGCATCCCAAACTGGTTACCTAATCAAAAATAATTCTACAGCTCCAAACCCAAGCTATCATAGTTTATTTCAAGAGCATCATTCTGTGGCAAAGTTCACAGCTGTGAAATAGCAGAATACAAGCTTCCTGGCTATGAAAAAAACCCAACAAAAAAACCTGCCATAAATGTATTTGCCAAGGAGAATGTGCCAGCAAATGAGTAAATGAAAACAAACCCTTTCAAAATGGGTAAGGGTGACTAGTGCAGTCCCATCTGGCAAGTTCATAAACCTGGGTTGCACCGCATTGTCACAGATGATTGAAAAAGTTGGCACACAGTAAGGTGAAGAAGCCTGCTGCCTGGTTATGCATTTGAGAATAAAGCTGTGGGTTGCTTGCTAAAGCCTGTAATTCTGATTTCACACCATAGACTTTCACCTGCCTTTTTATCATCTATGTAGTAAAGTACTGATGATGATGATAAAGCAAATGTGTTTTTACACACACCAGGTTCCAAGTCAATTATACTACTCAGAAATGAGATTTTATGGTCACTAAAGATAGATTTATGAAAATTTCAGCTCAGTGCCCATCAATAGTCAAAAAAAACCTGACAACTGCAAAATATTAGATGAACAGAAAACAAAATCACTGTACCACTACATCAATCCACAGTGCACACATCCTAGATGCTATCTGCAGTTCTTGTCCTGTCATCTCAAAAAGAATACAGAAGAAAGGAAAAAAAGCACAGAGGAGTGTGAGAAAGGGAACAGTTCCCATGCAAACAGTTACACAGATTAGAAGTCTTCAGTCGGAATATCTGAGTGAGGATACCACAGAAGTTTTCAAAGTTCCTCAGTGCAATGTGGCAGGTGAAGAGGGGAATGATTACTCACTGCCCTGCGCTATTAGGAGAGGCAAAGGCGGTAGGTTAAACAGGCAAACAGCACGAGCTTCCACACTTATCCTTGTTTTGCACATACGCTTATGAAACAGGTAAGTGTGTGCACAATTCCATTTATTCATATATTTCAGTGTCAGAAATTGACTAAACCCAGGGTCCATGAGTAATTTTGAATTGTTCTAGCAACAAGATACTTTCGGATCTAGCTGATCTCTTACATTTAGCTAGTTTACTCTGTCTTACAAAGCTCTGAGTACAAACTGATTTTTCTTTCATGTATCTGAGCATATGAAACATAACACTCATTCAAATAAAGTAATTCAAGATCAGAACAGTAATATAAACCCAGCAAAAGGCCCAAGACATCATCCCAATTTTGTTATTAAGGGTCAGGATTATTAGGACTGGGCTTCTTTACCAGATCACTGTTCCTCAAAGTCTAGTGTTATTTCCAATCCTCACTTCTTCAACACTACTTAGAACTGGCTACCGTTTATTCTTCTAATTAGAATTCTACTATTTAGAATTGGCTATTACTTTTGCTTTAGAAGGTGGGCTGTACATTTTTCAAGCTACTTTTTGTTAACACCTAAATTATGAAAAAAAATGCTTTCAAGTGTGTTATTTCTGGATGTCTTTTACAGAGAGGACCAAGTAGGAAAACTACAAGCAGTGCTGCTGTGCAGAAGCAAAGAAGAAAGTCTCGTTTCTAAAACTTTTAATTATTCACATTTTTTCTCCTATCACTGACGTTCATTTTAAATCCAATATTCCAGTGCATTTTTTCAGTAGATGAGCCAGTGGAGCATTTTCAAGAAACTATGCATTTAAATATCTCAATTAGATGGGAAATGCACTCATGCTTACCAAAACTACTTATAGAAACATTTCTGAGATTGAAGAAATAAAAAGATGAATAATAATAAATTTATTAACGTAATGTATAGCTTTAAGTCTAAATAGAAACTTATGGCAGGTGACAGCTGTGTGGAACAGATTTATCTAGCCTTCCACTTTACCATAATGTCTGAGGCAGGATAATGTGCAATTTGTTCTCTTTACAACTGTGAAACGTTCATCTCTGTTTCTCAAAACACTGTGAAAGCAGGAGCAAAAACCAGCTTATGATCGTTCACTCTGCAGCACAAAGTCTTTACATCATTCATCAGAACCGTAAATCCAAATCTCTGTTTCCATACAGGAAATGTCTCAGGAGCAAAGCAAACATCCATTTTAGCCTTGAAAATAATTGTACTGTTCCCTGTGTTCGCCTCCAGCAACGCAGCA